TTTGTCCTGAATTATATATATTGAAGAATTCATGAATTTCTCAGATATATCGGCCTATATCTACATATCAGTATATATGCTGCTAGGGTATTCCCTAGTCATTCACACCCGACTAGAGCACTCTTACTTGTTTTGTGACTGTTGGTGGTGGAGCTGCTGCTGCTCGGCTGCTCGGCTGCTTGGCTGCTTGGCTGCTTGGGTTGGCTTGGCTGCCAGCCTGCAGCTTATCCGCTCTGGCATCAACAGCAACATCATCATGATAGATAAGAGCCGAGTTCAGCTGGGTTGAGTTGCACTTTTATGACGTTGTCGCTGCCAGGATGGCCACGAAAATATGCAGAAAACGAGGTGACAGCCAACAATTTTTACAGCTCTTGCCCCCTTATTTGTGGCTGCTGCTGTTGGCTGCTGGCAGCGAAAACAAGAATTGGCGAGCGAAACAGGTACATTGCCTGATTGTAAAATGTCAACGAGCTGCCTGGAGGGGAGGGTGCAGAGCAGAAAGCAGCTACAAAAGGGAGGAGAGGAGAGCTTAAGTGCAACAGCAACAGCTACGGCAACGGCAACGGCAACGGCAAGCGACGGCTTCAATGTAAGCCACAACAAGCCAATTATTTTCCTGGCCAGGCTTAAAAACAACGGAATTATGAGCAGCCGACAAATATATATACCAAAATACAGATATATATTTATATGTATATACATTGATATATATGTGTACATATATAGTTAACACCACAACAGTGGCAAACATATGTTTTGATGGTCCGATTAGCGCTACAACAAAAAAAGATTGTATTTATGTATGTATATCTGTGTATATGCTCGTTAATATATTTGTTGTATTTGTAGCTTAGTTAGAAAACTCGCCTCGAACAGCAGCCAGTGTGACATGTGTTTCTGTTGCTGTTGTTGTTGTTGTTGTTGTTGTTGCTTATCTAGATGCTTTGTTTTTTTAGTTTATTGGCATCAAATGCCAAATGCCGACCACAGAAAACAAATTTGTTAAAGCCCAGTTAAGAACAAGTTAAATCAATTGGTGAGATGATATAGATTGAAAAATAGTTAGAGGCAGGGAGTAAGGAAGAGGGAGGAAGAGATAAGGAGAGACAGAGAGAGAGAGAGAGAGAAAGAGAGAGAGATTCCGACTGAGTTATTTTAAGACTTAAAAGGAAAAGCTGATTGGCTTTTACATACAGCTTTTATTGGAAAACGGGATTGTTCCTAAGAAAATGAAAATGATTGAAATATTTCATTTTGTATATATTCAAAAAAATAACAATACATGTCTTAAATGTTTTTTCTTTTTTTTTATGTTCAAAACGCCAGAGTATTTAAATGAGGGATAAATTATTCATTTATTATCATAAATTATAATATTTAGACTTCCCAAATATGAAGTTTTATCGTAAACAAGGACTATAAAAGTACTATTATTTAATTATTTCGATTTATAGCTTTCCTTATTTATTTAATAATTATTTTTCAACATTTCTTTATATTCATTCAGTTATTCAAACCTGTGCATAGCACACATAAAATATATAATTTCGAGATAATGCCAATCAACAAACAAGCCGCTAATCTATAGGAAAATTGCAATAAAATAAACAAGAATATTGAATTTCTTGCACATAAATTTGAATTAGAAATAACCTAATGAACTTTAGAAAATATGAGCTAAACTCTATATGATTTAACAAGGCATATTATAAAGCTACGCAAATCTCGATTTATATATGCATACGCATTTGTATGTATACATTATTGTATATAAGTAAGTTTAACCTATTCAAACTTAAATTAAATACTTTGTTGGGGTCGCCTCATTGACTATCAGCATGAAAAACATTTTGAATTGAAAATATATATTTTACAAATACATACAAATATGACACGTGTCAGTGTGTGTGGGTGTATGGCAACGTATATATGTATGTCTATGTACTTATTTTTCAATAATAATTACTGTTGACCTGCTTTGACCGCAAAACACGAGCAGACAAATACGATTGCTAGATTCTATAGAAATGTTTTATGAAAATGTTTCTTTGTGTGTGTGTGTGTGAATATGTATATGTGATATTTTTTGTTGTCAATAAGCCGGCTATGAACTGAACTGAGTTTCCATTTCAGCCAATGGCCGAAAAGACTAATAAAAGTCAAGTTAATATGTGGTCTGCTTTTAAGTGTATTTAAAACTACTTTGACCAGGTAATTAAAGCAAGATTTTAAGAATGTTTGAATTCAATTTGAAGGGGACTTTAAAGCGATGTTTTGTGCTTATGTATTTCTAGTTGATTAGAGTGTGTGTGTGTGTGGAGGGTAGAAAGTAGAGAGAGGATAAATATGTATGAATATGGGATTGAATTTATATATATATTTTGAGCAGGTTTTTAAAGTTTTATGCCATGAGAAAAAAGCTTTAAAAAATGTTAATGTGTATATTTAAATTTTTCTTATATGTATAAATACAAATTATGTACATATATTTAATTGATATAAATTAGGCTTCAAACATAAATATTTGGAAAATATGTAAAAAAAAAAAAAAAAAAAAAAAAAAAACTGTCAAGAAAAATTGCGAAAAATTGGAAATGAAAAGAAAAACACTATTTACTAAAAATTCATTGAGAGCCAAAATGTTTTCATCTGAAAAATTCGTTTTTAATCCCATACTAACCTAAAACAAATGTGTCTTAATAAATTTAAAATAACCAAAGTTAATTTATTAAAAATCTTTCTCATATTTAACAACAACAAAAATCAAAAGATCTATAAGAGATCGTTACATTTTCTACATACCCTATAGAAATTAATATAAATTTTTGCCTTCATGTTTTTATAATTTTGAAATGAATTATAACGCGTCGTATTCAGTTTAACAAAACATGAATTTATTGCGCTGATGCGTTGATGATTTTTCAAGAGAAAAGGAGAGAGAGAGAGGGGCAGAAAGAGAAGAGGGGAAGTGAGGGAGAGATTCGCGCACACCCACAACATTTGCCCCATAGAGTTAACGGTGCATAGGGCATAAATTTTGGACCCCTCCGAAAAAAATGGGAAAAAAAGACAGTGCGACGACTTTGTCGAGTCGGCGTTGTCATATTTGACATCAGCTCTATAAATCAACAAAGAATGTCGTTGTCGTTGGAGCGAGGAAGAGAGAGCGGACATGGCGAGAGAGTGGTGGAGAGTGAGAGAGGGAGGGAGGGTAGGGAGCGAGGTCTTGCTTTCGATTTGATTGATAATGGCAGGCAGGCAGGCAGGCAGAAGGCAGCCTGCATTGCCGGCGGAATGAAACGAAATGAAACATTACGGCGGAATGGATTGTGGATTGTGGAGGCTATTGTATGACATGACATGGCGGCAAACAGCAAGTATGTGTGTATGTTTGTATGTATGTGTGTGTGTGTGTGTGTGTGTGTGTGTGTTTGTTTGCAAGCCAAGCGAAGCGGTTGCGCAAGGGGAAGCAGACAGCATGCAGCATGCAGCATGGAGCATGTAGCGCATGCAGCATGCAGCATCATTCGACTGCGCGACTGCGTATTTTGAAATATGGAGCGGTAATAAATGTCACAAGAATCATTTGAGAGGAAATACGAGTGACGAGCGTGACTTGCATTCGATTTATGTTGCAAGCCATGTAGCTGCATGCCTCAAATGATGCCACTGCTGCGACTGCCACTGACATCAGGCCCAGCCACAGCCACAGCCACAGCTACAGCCACCGCCACAGCCACTGTCAGTGCCACTGCGACTGCTTCCTCTGCTGACTGCATGAATGATAAAGTTTTTGATTTACGCATTGGCTCTGAGCAGGTGTTGCTAGAAGAAAAACTTTTGACTTGACTTTGCCTAGCGACCTGCAGCAGCGACCTGCAGTGGCAGAAGCAGCGCCGATTGCTTTAATTGCCATGCCACAACAAATTGTAGGCGTAGACCCATATGTGTGTGTGTGTGTGTTTGAAATTTGGCATAATTATAACCTGTTTTCATTTTGTTCATGCTGCTGCCGCTGTTGTTTTAATCTCGCGTGTTGCTTGCAGCGCGTGAAATCGCGTTACAGCAGCAGCAGCACAGCAGTTGCAGCAGCTTCCTAGCTTTGCAGCCACCCAAGCGCAGAGTGTCAACCTCTAAAAGCCGCAGACAGCCGCCAAGGCGCTGGGCTTTGATAGTCTGGCAACTGTTGCAACTTGCAATTGCGGTGCAACAGCGGTGTCTAGCGTGAGCGAAGCGGCGAACGAACGTTCTTGAGAAACGTTGAACGCGGAATGGGAATGCAGGCAAGCAGCAGAACCACACGCAGGTCCATGCAGCCAGGCGAAGCTAGGAGAGAGGTGAGCCGAAGAGAGCTGAGGAGCTGAGCTCAAGAGAGGGAAGTGAGCTGAAGCTACAGCTGAGGTAGAGGCGCTGCAGTGAGGAGAGCTGAAGCTAGAGGTGACGAGGTGAAGAGTTGTAGGCGACGGCAGTGGATGAGCGGAGCAGCAGTGGAAGAGCACACACAAAGTGAGCGAAAGGTATGGATGGGGAGGGACGAGGTGTTGGCTTTGTGGGGGCGCTGTTGGAGCGACTAGCGCTGGCACTGTGGTGTCTTTCGCAGCGGTCGCGGTCTGCTTATTGCCGTCACCAAGCATTGACTGGCTAGGCCAGACTAGCCTTCGCACAGTGGTGCAAAAAACAAACAGCGAAAAAAAAAATGAAAACAAAAAAACAATGCATGCATATAAATATTTCATTTGCGTGTTTGGCAATCATTTTCTAGTCAATGTCTTGGCATGCAGTTGGAGGTTCTCTTTCTGCTTTTATCTGATGCAGACCCTAAGCCCGACTCTGACAGACTGACTGGCTGAGTGAGTGAGTGAATGAATGCTTCCCAAGAGCAGCAGCAGCAGCAGCAGCTGCAGCAGTAGAAGCAGTAGCAGCTTGATCTGCAGTTGCATTCACATTAGAATCAACGGAATTGGCACTTTTGGTTGCATTTAAGGTCTGCAACTTACCTATAATAATCGTTTTTGCAATAAATGTTGCCATCACGTGAATAACATGAGGATTCCCGTTCCAGAGGCTGGCGACATGCATAACACTGCAAGCAGCTGGCATGCCAGCGTTTTTCCACAGCGGAGAGGTAGAAACGATCCTGTAAAATTAAGCATAAAAATCATTTATATAAATATATATAGCTTAATGTAATATTCTAAATAGTTTTATAGATTTTTTTTTGAAAAATTCTTAACACAATAAAAATAGTTCCTATGCATTTAATATTTCTTTGTCTTTTCTTTTTTTGCTTCAACACCTGTCTTGGTTTTTGCACATTCTTAATAATAATTTATATAATTATATGTTAATTTATAAATATACACGTTCTTTGTTTGAGCTATAAAAGTGCTTATAAATAAACAATAAAAACAAAACAGATATATATTGAGTAAACGCAGTGTAATGAAAATATAATTTTAAGCAATGACATTCAACTTTCGATTGAATATATATTTTTATATGTATAAAAATATTATATTTATATATTTATTAAAGAATTAAATATATACTCTTTATCGGATTTGTGCAATGCCCTTCTAGTTGTTTGTTCGTGTGACTGCAAATTGAAAATAGTGGCCTGGAAGTATTTTAGCATAGCTCATAGCTTTATACTATACTTTTCATAATAATATGTGCCTATTTTTACCTACAACATTTTATCCTAATGTCTTTTATTCATAGAAATTCCGCATTCCCTCTATCAAACACTCACAAAATCTGTTTCCCAATTGGATTTTCTAACAGCTCCTTTGCCGTCGGCATATGTAATTATATCCTGAATGTATCCTTACCACAAGCAAAACACACACATGTATCTCTATCATACACACATTATCTCCTTCCCTCTCTCCCTCTCTCTCGCTCTCTTTCTATCTGCTTCACTTACCTGTATTTGTCGGCCGCAGCCGGCGCAATCGTCTGGATTGCGGGTTATTTTGCTATCGTTGGTGGATTCGGGACTGCTGGGTGGACCGAAGGGTTCCGTTTTAAATGATATGCCCGATGTGGTCTCATCGCTGACCTCCGTGCAATCCGTGCGACTGCGGCTAATTGAGAACTTGGCCGTTGAGTCCTCAAACGTGGCGCGATCGGCGGTCTCATAGCTATGGAAAGGGATAGATAGATAGATAGATGAATAGTTTCATCCCAGTTGCGGCTTAAGTGGTTTCTCTCACCTTCTATATGACTCGCTGCCGTATGCATTGCCAAATGGCTTTGTACTCTGATCACAAATATCTGGACACGATGATGTCGAGCATGTGCGAAACAATGGATGATGATGATGATGGTGATTGTTGTTATTATTGTTGTTGTTATTAATATTATTATTTGCACCTGCAGCACTGCCGCACTGATTGCTCCCTTGATGTGCTACAGGTGGTGTTAAACTTTTCTCCCTTGCGCCGGGCCCAAGAAATCTTGCGCTCTGCTGCTGTAAAGTTAATCGAATGATAAGAAAGAAGTAGAATAAGCATCTTTTTGTTCAGATATGGTAAAATATATAATTGTATAATATATAAAAATTTTGAAAATTTTGTATTTATTTAATATTTGACATTTTTTATAGCAAAAAGAGAAAGATTTTAACTGGAATTTGCCATAGAAGAAGAATTTAATATATAATATATTTATATATTACCTAAATAACATTTTCTGGTTTTCATTTATATTTTTTACATTTTATTAATTTAAAAGATTGTATTTGATATTTAATAAAAAAAATAAAATAAAATAAAAATAAAAGTCTGAATAACTTGAGATCAGTTTAAAAATTGACGTGTTATAAAATGTAAAAATTTCTGTGATACAAAAATTTAATGTATAACATGCATATCGGCATATAATATATAGTATTATATACAGTATTTGTTGTTCAAATTAGCATATTTCACCGTATATGTATTTTCATCTTTAGTATATTCTCATTTAAAGTAAAAAGTGCTCATCGCTTGATTTCCGTTTCACTCAGCTCGAAAATTTTTCACAAATTTCTTCACGAATGCATCTCAAAAGGATATGTGCCACAAAATGATGCATGAAATTTTCAATGGCGGCGGCAAAAGTTAATTTCAATTAGGCAAAATTTTTTGCTGCTGTTGCCGCTGACTTTTCCAAGAAAACGTTGCGCGACATTTGGAAGACGAACTGGGGCAGGGGTTGAAGTTGGCTGCAATGGGGTAGCGGCAATCGGGGCGACAGGGGGGCGGTAACAACGACAGATGCCTGAAAACTTAGCCTAAGTCCCCCGACCAGCCCCTCTTCCCTCTATGCCTCCTATTCATTGAGCAGCACGTAGTTCTGCATATATTTATCTGCGGCCACAAAATATTATTTTCGAGTACCAAACGAAGCGCAGACATCTTGTCGCACATTGCAGACAAATTATACATATATGTATATATATATATAGTGAGTTGATCTGGCGAGTCGCTACGTATCATCGATGCTCCAGTTTACTTATTTTTTGATTAATTAGTTGAAAATAGTTTTCAACTGTTTGGCTCTGTGTTTACTTAGAAGGATGACAAGTTTTTTTTTTTTTTTTCGACTAAAGCCAAAAACTTCATTTTTATTTTGTTTTTGGCAGAAGAGGAGTATATTGGTTTGTGTGTGCAGCTAGCTCTAATTTTGTCTGGCTGTGTGATATGCAAAATTAGCGGTATATATAGATAAATTTTACAAAGCTTTGTGCCTCTTTTAATATGATCTTTTAATATGATTTTGGCAAATATCTTAGATATTTCTGTGATAATACCAAGGTAAATGAAACAAATATAGAAATTGAGTCAATATTGAACTGATCTATAGATAAAACTATCAATTTTATCGTACGCTCAAATTCAACAAGTGCATTTCAGTTGGACCTTACCGACAGATTGAGATACAGACTAAATTACTATTGATTCATGCAAAAATAATCAACATATATAAATAGGGGCGTGTCAAACTGGAAACAGCGTTCGAGCCGTGCCGAAATGTTGCTGGATTTTTTTTATTATGTTCCGAAATTTTGAGTTTTTACCTCGAAAACTGTAAAAGATACTGCTTTAGCCGATTTGACCCACCCCAAACGAGCGTAGATATATGTGATTTTGCTATCAACGCGAGTATAAATTCCAAATTTGTTTTTTGAAAGACTAGAAAATGCATTTTCCGACTGGTCAAGCCCCTAGTGGGTGGCTCGGAGAACTCTATAAGTTTCACATTTCAGTCTCTAACTTCATTAATCGCGAAATGTTTTTCGGATGAACGGACAGCCAGACTGACACTGTTCAAAATCAATCTACTCATTTTTTTTACTTTCGTGCAGGAGTATAAAATCAAGAATTGATACAGAACTTACATATTTTTATGTAACATGAACGAGTATTAAACAGTCATTGACACCCATTAGCAACATTTTTACATGTTTCACTTTGCTGTTTTACTACAAATTTTATTTGTTTATTATTTTCTTCTTTTTTCAACTTGATATTTTTTTTTTTGTAAATTTTTTTCCATCTCTGTTTGGTTAGACATCGGTTTTTACCTTTGGGGGTAAACACAAAGCGCAACATTTTGCAGTCTGCCATTTTTAGTTGGCAATATTTCAACATTTTGTTTCGATTTTTTTTGGTCAACTACATACATAATACCCCAACTAAAATGGCCTAACCACATTTCTTATAGGCAACGGCAGCTTCTTATATATACACTTATTTGTGCAACTTGATGGCTTGATTTGTTGCCTGAAGCGTGTCTCAAAATGGGAAGATATGCCAAAAAGAAATAGTTACTACAATGCGGGTAGATAAAAGACGTAAGGCAGAAACTTCTTTTGTACATATTTGTTGTGATAACTCTGAATACTTGAGCTCTTTTATTAGAAATAGAAATATCCACGTAGCTGAATTTTTATATATATTTTACATTTTTCGAATTTTATTTTTAGCTATTTAAGATCATCAAGAGTGATATTTTAAATTCTTTGTAATAATAAGCAAGTAAAATAGCAAGTAAGGGTGTTGTATATCGCAATAATCGACTAACAATTACCCTTAATTGCGACTTGAATTGTTTTATTAGTACTGACTCAAATAATTAAATGATTTACCTTATAAATTATATATAACGGAAACAAATTTTGATCTGTGCCAAAGAAAATGTAAACTAGTTCTTTAAGATTCTGATTTACAGTAGATAATGACTTTTTGAATATATATGCCACACATATTAATATGCAATAAAAGGATATCAAAATCATGTAAAACATTGCAGTGGATCAAAGCCGACGGTCTTAAAAAATCGTTTATAATAAATATTGACTAATAGCGCAAAGGTTTTATAATATTCAATATTTAAGCGGTCGGTAGGAAAGGTTAACTGTAATTTGTAGCAAACCATATAGAAATATCTATTGCAAGCATATATGTATAGATAATCTTTCGAGCCTTTAGACGGAAGTTTTTTAGAACCTAGGTACTGTTTTCTCACTTCATGAAAGTGTATAAAAACAAAAACTGTCAAACATATTTAGGCGTAGCATTCTCTACCTGCTTTTATTTATTCCTATAAAGCAAGTCACGCTGTAAATTCTGCGCTTAAACCGATTACGAATTATAAAACGCATATCATGTAAGCCTTTTTACTCGGCTGTCTTCTTCTCTATGTTGTTTCTTTATTGATAGTTCATTATGCATGACCAGATAGCGTACACATATATATATATATATATAATATACGTTACTGAATAGGCGTTTTTCTACTTATGTTAAAGCCTTGAATTAAGAAGATTTAAAAAAACAAGTAAGAAAGCTCTAGTCGAGACTGCTCGACTACGAGATCCCCTGAACCCTTGGAGCAATAGATATTTCAATACTTTTTCGCGACTTTCAGCTTACACAAGAAACACGCACACACACACACACACACGCACGTACGCACACACAGGTATACATACACACACACGCATACAGACACACATACACACACACACGCATACAGACACAAACGCATACACACACACACATACACATACAAGCAACCACGCATAAACACGCATGGGCTGCAGTGTGCGCTTACTATGAGAACTTAATTGTTTAATAACTTTTTTTATGGACGTACGATCTTCATGAAACTTTTAGATTATGATTATAACATGAATATGCATGTAATTGCCAAAGCACAAGTCTCTAGTATTTGAAATACGCTTTTTACAAAAGTGAGGGTGAGGGGGGTGAATTTAGAGGTGGGGGTAAATTTTAACAAAAACCGAAATTGTATAAATTGCATATAAGCATACATTAAAAATTTGGAGACTCTAGCAATAAAGGTGTAGAAGATATAATTTTATAACTGGGTTTCGATAAGGTTTTTTATCGATAAAAAAGATCGAGATGAGTTATCGATTTTTAATGATAAACTTGATATGCGCGCTGTAATTACGGACATTTTAAAAAAAATTTGAAGTCTCTAGCTCTTATATCTTCTGAAATCGACGCGTTCATACATACGGACAGACGGACAGACGGACAGACGGACAGACGGACAGACAGACGGACAGGGCCAAATCAACTCAGCTCGTCACCCTGATCAAGAATATATATACTTTGTGGGGTCTGCCACGCCTCCTTCTCCCTGTTACATACATTTCAACAAAACCATTATACCCTGATTTCCCATTGAAAATGGGTTCAGGGTATAAAAATAATATTGTGAATATAGAAATAATATCTACAACAAATATAATTTTGTTAATCAAAACTTTTCTGACTGAAAAAGCTAGAGTAGAGTCTATATTATTTATAGATAAATAGTACCATCAAATTTTATTACTTTAAGCATTCAAAAGAAATCAGAAAATGTCATTCTATTCTATCGCTCTACTCATCGTATACTTAATATTTGCCTGAGCAACAATTTTTGTCTCTAATCACGAAGCCAAATATCTATAGAAAACATATCTACAATCTACATAGCATCAACTGTAAGTAAGCTCTTTCCAACTGATTGTTGGCAACTGATTTTGTTATCGATCCATGACAACAACAACACAGAGTGAAAGAGGCAGAAGCAGAGACAGAGAGAGAGAGAGAGAGAGAGAGAGAGAGCATACTTAAAGTCAATTCATGATCTGTTGCGTTGTCACTGAAAACCAAATGCACAAGGGGGTTTTCTTATCGCTAAATGCGCTTCGATTGCTCGAAGTCTCGCTGCTGTCTCCGTTTCAGTCGCTGCGGCTGTCTCTGCGGATCGATAGGAGTCGTAGCTTTTGGTCTGGCATTGATAACATTTGTAACCCGAGCTCGAGATAAATCACAAATTAATCAGCGACCATAGACCTGAATGCGGCTGATGTTGACGCTGACTCAAACCAATTTTGATTTGGTTGAGCGTGTGGAAATCCGAAACAAAAACGTTTTAGAAATTTGTCGAGAATGCTTTAAGGTCAGTCTATCGTTAAAAGGGGAGTCGTTTTAAAATATCGATCTTGGGGAATATTCAAGGGGCAGAGTTGGAGATATGAATTCAGCTGTGATTTTCAATGATCATTGGAAATTTTTCTAGCTAGAAAGTGTCTCAAAACTAATTAGTTTAATGGACTTTTCTTAGCAGTCTACCGATCTATCGATACTTATCGATTTCTTTGATATTTTGACTTATAGCTTATAAGATAGGTATAATATATATTTAGTGTGGATACATTATCTTTGCCTGCTGTCTCATGTTTATTACGAAACATACATTTTGAAATATATCATTTATTTCAGCATGATATTAATGTATCCATTTATCGATCTATTGCAGATTTCCACGCCTACATTCACAAATATGCTTGCTGGAGGTGGACCATGGTAAGTGGTGGAAAAGTTATATACATTTTATACACTTAAACAATCTTTAATATATCATCGATTTTCCGTTTTCTCGATTGAAATTATATATTGCAAAATTATATCAAAATTTAATTAGTGCAGTTAGCAATATTGCTCTAGTTGCCATTGATCTCATGAGTCTATGTATATATTTTACAATCGATTAGAAAGACATATCAATAAATTGTGATTTATCGATAACATATGAACAAACAGTAAGTTGGCTAAAGAAGCTGTAAGCTTTCGTTATTGACTTTAGCTATTAAACCACCTACATCTTCTGCTATATTATCGGATATTGCCCTATCGATTTTTGTTTCACCTGTCGATAACTTACCCAATGCATCACAGGGCGCTCCTCGGTGCAGACGCCCATGTGCGTCTTTTGGAATGACACGAGGTCTATTTCCAACGATGATGATGCCTGTCTGGTGTATGCTTGTTGTTATTGTTGGTTGTTGTTGTTGTTGGAATTTGCAGGTTGTTGCTATGTGTTGTTGTATCCTGATTATTGTTGTTGTTATTGGTGGTGCAGCGACTAATCGCAAGGCAAATGCAAGAAGGCTAATTTGGTCCTATTTAATCCAGTAATTTTGTATAGATATTTGCAGAATTTGTGCGCATTGCTTCGATTTGTTTCTTTTCTTTTTTTGTGCAAAATTTATGAATGATATGAAAACATCAAATTTATAGATTGAACATTTTTACGTCAGCAAGAAAAAACTTTCTATATAAATTATTTGTTATATATTTTTATTTCACTTCGTATATAATATATATTTATAATATATATAATTGGCTTTATTTTATTATGAATTCGTATTCATTTTCAGCTTGAAGGTAATTTAAGGAACATTTGGGTTTTAGGTGACGCACACACAGACACACACACACACACTCGCGCAGAGACGCACACACACTTGCTGCGGCAGGTAATGTTGACTTTTTTCTTGACGTTTTATAGGCCGACACGGACTACGGTTTAACGAGACTCCCGAATATATGTATGTATATATATATGTATGTATGTATTTAGACGACACCGGTGCCCGAAATTAATTTATGACATTAATTTACGAGACAGCGCGTGGAATGGCACTCACTGTAAATTGAGTGGTAAGGAAAAGGTCTTTCAGTCTCTATGTGTGTTCCCTACGACGGCAGCGGCAGCAACGGCAGCAGCAGCAGCAGCGTCAGCAGCAAACAGAGATGCGTGCTACTGATAAGGCATTAGGAGTTGAGCGGATGCGCCTTGTGCTGATGATAACTAAATGAAGAAGACTTTGACTTTGGACGGCAGCAGCGACAGCAGCAGCAGCAGCTGCTATTGATATTCGGTGTGCCGCGAATTACGATCGAAGCCAAAAGAAAGAAATTCACACAAAAAAACCGACGGCGAAATGTTGTAAGTGTAATCAAGGCGAGCTTAAAGGTTACGCCCGCGGCAAACACAGAAACGAGGCGAATACAATACAATTCAATTTATTTTCTTTCTTTTTATTAGAAACTGTTGTCGTTGTTGTTGTTGTTATCGTTGCTGTTGTATATGTATATAAAAAACAAACGAAAATGCCGAGCGACGTTCAACGTATCAGCGGCGACTGTTGTTGTTGCCACGCGTTAGCAAACTGCGGCGACAAAACTCGCGTATGTTATATTGGGCAAGAAAAGGTCGACTCCGACACCGACTCCGACTCCGATTCCGACGTTCGTTTGTTCGTGCTGCGTCGCTCGCTGCGATTCGATTTTTTGTACAGAGAAAAACATCCGCGCAGACAACCAGTCAGCGTAGCGGCGTATTACTGTGTGTTTGTGCCTGCAGCGAATTCACAAGCTCTAGCTCTGAGATGCCGCTCGTTCGCAGCCAGCGCCAGCGCCAGCAGCAGAGGCAGAGGCAGCAACGAGTCAAAACACAAACAAAATACACAAGCAAGCAAGAAAAAAAAACAAAAAACCAACCACCTATAGCGGTCTCTCGCTTGCGCTTGTCTGGCTGTGTGCTATACGTTTTTGCTCTTTCTCTCTCTCGCTCTCACTCGCTCTCTCTCTGTTGCCCGTCGCTCTCTCGCTGGATTTACGCAGCAAATGGCGGCGCTCTCAGCTGATTTGTGTTTGTATGACTTTCTCGCTCGCACGCATGCGGCAAGTGGCGTTTTGAGGGCGTGGTGTTTTTGTCGTCAGTTGCAGAGTAGTCAGCAGTATTGACTCGGCAGCCCCTTGTTGGAGAGAGTTGGAAGAGGCGTTACGGCGGTGGGGTTGCCGAGGAGAAGGGGGACACGATGGCTGGCTGCCAAACATGAATAATGCAACAGCAGAAGAAGCAGCAACAGCGACAACGGCTGTGGCAGCGGTGGCAGCAGCCGCCGTCGCCGCCGATTGTGGCATCACTTGGAGACCCCATGACAGGAATTTTGCGCTCGCTCGCAAAAGATGTTCGCTGCTGGCTGCCTTTTGCTACACAAGTAAGAAGACGTTGCTTGTCGTTGCTGTTGTTGTTGTTATTGTTGTTTTTGTTCTTATTGGGTGCTGTATTTTGTGTGTGTGTGTGTGTGTGTGCGTTTGCCTTGGGACCTCTATGGCTATGCCCTCCTTCGTTCGTTGCTGTTCGCTGTAAAAGGCAAAAGAAAATAATAATAAAAAAAATAAGGTTTGAAGAAAATCGAGCAGGTCTTATTTATTTAGATTTTTTTCTTTGAGCATTTTATGATATACATATATATTTTTTTCTTCTTCATTTTTATTATAACTTCGTTTTTTTTGTGGTTTTTTTTTTTGCGCTTCTTCAAAGCTTTTTGTTGTTGTTGTTGCGTTCGCTGTCGATTTCTTTTCTGCTACCTCTTCTTTAGCATTCTTATTGTTGTTGTTGTCGTTGAATTGCTTTGATGGCTTATAGAATAATTTTGGGTGGGGGCTTGGATGCTGGGCGCTGCTGCTTTTTTGGCCGTAAGTATCGGATTCGCATTGTCAGCTTTTCTTACACACTTTACTTTTTCTTAAAAAAATATATTCACACACATTTATATACATACATATACAAATGTACATAAGAATGTGTGTTTTATGTATTTCGGTTTTAAGTGAAATCTTTTTAGTATTTGTCCAAGTACTTTTGTTAAATGTTTTACATAAGCTTGAAAGTTCTTCTTATTTGGAAGGGCGGAAACTTAATGCAGGTAACGCACAATTAATAAGTTTCTCAGGAAAAACTTTGCAGAGTATTTTTAACTCACGTTATAAATGTTGAGAAATGAAACGTCGGTTATTTGGGATAGGAAAAAAGTCTGAGAAGATAGTGGGAGCTAAGGGAATTATGGGAAATCGATATAATTATTATATTACCAAGTAAAAATTTAAATTAAAAAATAATAATAATAATAAAAAACAAAAATATTTAAAAAATATATAAAATATTAAAAATAAAAAATTATGTTAAATTAAAAAATTAGCTAAAAATACTTTAGCTCTAAAAATTATAACTATTTACTATTACATTAAATTAAATTAAAAAAATTAATAAAAATAACAATAATATTTTATATTATAGACTATTGAACAAACGCTCGAAAATTAATAAGTAAAAATCAAATTTAATTTTGTTTGTGGTTAAGCAGCTTAAATATTTCATTTAAACTGGTATTTTATTTAAAAATTGTTTATTAGCTTTAATGAAATTAAAGCAGAATTTCAGCTAAGCATTGGAAGTTGTGCAGGGGAAATCCCAACTTATTCCTAACTCAAAGGGACTTAACATAACAACAAATTAAAAATGAATGTATATCTCATGTTTCGTGAATTTTGCTTACAAACTAAAAAATAAATACCTTTATCTATAGATGTAAAACTTGATAGAAATCCTCACAAGGTAAATATGAAAAACAAACTTTTGTTTGTTACAAGAAGAAATAAGAAATAAGACTGAAAGAAAGCAGTAAAGATTGAAAGATAAAATACAAAAACTTGACATAACTAATTAAAGGAATTGAGTGCGTTTTCAATTTTAATTAAGAGCGCACGGAAAAGCTCAATGAGCTGCAAAGAAGTTTTACCTTTTACTGCAAAATTTTCGTATATGCATACATATATATTATATGTATGTGTATGTGTATATCTATATATCTATATATATTTGTCTAGCTATTCATATTTCCATATGAAATTTATACATTTTTCTTTTCCGCTTTGCTGAACGCGAACGCAGCGTAAAGGATCAATTAAAAGAATTGATAGATGCTTCTCAAGTTGACAATGTGATTTTGTATGCTGACTTGAGCGGCTGCTGCTGCTAGGATGTGACTACACAGCCTCCTGCTGCTGCTGCCTCCTCCTGTTCCACTTCCTCCTCTTCCTCTGCTGCTGCTGCTGCTGTCGTTTGTTTTGTTGTTGCTGTCGTTGTCGATGGCTGTCATTGAGTTTCGCATTTCAGAATAAAAATTCAAAAAGTCCAGAGGGGGGGCCACAGAGAACGAGGCATACACCTGCTCTCGCTCGCCTCATCGCCCTCTCTTTCACTCTCGCACTCATTCTGTCTCTGTGTGTGTGTGTGTGTGGCATGTTTGTACATCAACGCGCATATAACAAATAAACAAACAAACAACGACTTTTTGGGCTTGCTGTGTGTGCTCGCTTGCAATTGTGAATAACAGCAGCAACAAAAGCAACAACAACAGCAGCAGCAGCAACAACAACAACTTGCAACAACAATGTGCTGCAATCTTTTGCCTCTCTGTTATTTTTTTTTTCCTCTCTTGTGCCTTTCTTTCAACGCAGTTTGCACTCGCACTCGTATTTGCTTTTAGCTGTTGTTTTATTTTATTTTAATTTTAATTTTTTTAACATTTTATTTTTTATTTATTTTGCTTGCTCTGTAGTACATTTTCTTGCTGGCTGCTGCTGGCTGCTGCTCTTGTTGGTCGCAAGTGTTGAATGTCTGCGGAAAGTTACAAAGGTGGTGTCGTCGTCGGCTCCCCTATTCCCCACTCCCAACTAGCCCCAAACCCTTTTTGCCCAGCTACACTCACACACACATATATGTGTGTATATATACAAAGCCTTGCTGCCCCTACCTTCGTTTCTGCCCCTCTCTCGTTGCCTTTGCCCTCGGTTTCAGCCATGGCTGAGCTGCTGTTGCTGTTGCTGCTGCTGTATGCTTGGGCCAAGCTTCGGGGCATGCTCTTCAACATTTTCTGTGCCGTTTTGCAGTACATGAAGTTTGCATTTTTGTTATACCCTAGACACACCGTCGGCGTAGGGGGTGTATGGGGCTTAGCTGAAAGGGACTAACAATTAATTTAGCTGAAATTCTATTTTGCTTAAGAGGATTAGCGTTAGTGAAGATAAAAAAGACATGGAGTGTAATACACTTTGACTATATTGAAGCTATAGACTTGAAGTTTTAAAAGACAGTTCGAACAAATTCGATATCATCCTTTTTTCGTATACTTAACCTTTGCATCACAAAAAGATAATGAACAGCTCTTATATCTTATATATATATATATCATTTACCTAATTATTTCTTCTAGTGAATATTAAAAATAATTTAATCTGAATTTTAAAAATTTTGGTTAGCTTAGAGTTTCTTATAGAATGCCGAAACACAATTCGTACAGCTATAATACTTTTGCAAAAATGTAGCCGACAAGAAAAATATATTTTAATATTCCTCTCAGCTCGTTCCTTGTAAAACTTCTTGGGTTCAAATCGTACCTTATTCGTCCTCACGTTAGCCACATTCTGCACAAGTTCTATACAGGGTATTTCTTAGTCCGCCACTGGCTAACATTTCGCCATTTTTATTTGTTGTGTCGTTTTCTTGCTGAGGCTTCTGTTATTCATAGGCAGCTTCCTGGCACGTTTTGTATTGGGTGTGGCAGGCGCGCCCACACACTCACACACACACACACGGACTTTACATACATGCACAGCAATACGATTGCCCGCCGAAAAAGCCGAGACTTGAGTTTTACTTGTCTTTTGCCATTTGCAAAACTTTTTGTGTGTTTTTTTTTTTTTTTTTTTTTTTTTTGCTCAGGAGCAACTGCCACGTTGAGGCTTTTTGGCTTGCACACTTGCACACATACATTCATATATATGCATATATAGTTGTATATTCAAAATATATTCTAAAAGGATTCGGAATGAGGGCTTTTTGGTTTTTGCGTGCAAAGTTTTTGTTGCCGTGTTGCTGTCGTGCTTTATTTTCCACTACGTTGTTGTTGTTGTTGATGTTTTTTTTTCTTTTTCGAGTGCAACGCCAAAGCGCAGCAGCACTTGTGCAACAAGCACACACACACACACACGGGCGCGTGTTGAGAAGTGGAAACGTAATATCGGATTTTCGTATTTACGTAACTGTGGTTCCTGCACACACACACACACACACGGACGCACACATACGCATAGCCAAAGAGTCGCCTTTTGCTTTTGCAGCAGTTTTTGTTGCTCTATGGCTTTCTATGTACTTTTGAAACACACCAAAAAGCTTGCTTTTGTAGGGCATGCACACACTCATACACACACACACACACACACTCACACAGACATATACACTTATACACACACTTCTAGGATACTTGGCCTGGGCTCGTGATCCTGCCACGTCCTGCCGCGTCCTGCAGCTCTACCGCACACCGCACTCGAAGTGAAAACGTAAACTTTGACAACCCTGCCGCAACCCTATAGCTACCAGAGGGGACGGTGTTCGGTACTAGGCGGGGCGTGGCAGCAGCTTCAATTCCTTTAGAGCAGCCAGCCGCCCAAGTTTCAAAGAGCGAAATGGTTT